AGTTTTCAAGTGATTTGATAATGGCGGTTATTCTGAGAAATTTGACTAACGTTGAATATTATGTTAATAGATCCGATTGATGTTGAGGTTGAAGAAGTCCAATGAATGTGACTCCTAAATGAGCTTAAATGTAACGAGCTTCGTCTGCTAGAAGTGAATTGATGGCCTAATGTTCTTGGCTCTCTGCCAACCAGGTAGGTCCCTTCAAGCATAGTGAGTAATCTTTTAGCTGAATCGCCGTTACGCCTCGTGATGCACAGTTTGCTAGGTTTTCTCCGCCAGCAGCATGCCTCCAGTGCGCATCTAGAACGAGTTCTTGAGTGTGGGTAACTCTGTTTCTGACAAAGTCTTCTTAGCGGGCTAAATTTCAATTGATCCATGAAAGAGTGATTGTAGAGTCCGTCCACAGATAAATTAAATGCATTCCTACTTTCTAAAGTGTAGCTTGAACATACTTTATGAGTGTTGCTAGGATTAAAGCAGCTGTTCACTCCTGCTCTGGAGCAGTAAATTTTTTGATTGGTGCTACTTTTGTTCTGGCTCATAGAAGATCAATATCAGGCTCGGTAGACGGTGAATTGATTTGCATGTAGATCGCTGCAGCTACTGCTAGCGGATAAGCATCCGAGAAGCCATGAATCTATATTGTTGATCGTCTTGACGTGTGGATCCAACGTAGTATAGAGATTTCATAAGTGTGAATTCTTCGTTGATGATCAGCCAACGATTGAGAAGTTAAATGGGTACTGGTTCATCCCAGCGGAGATTGTGTAGCCAGAGATCTTAAAGAAGCATCTTGGCTCTGATTGTCAATGATAAAACCAGGTCTAGAAGATAATAAATTATAGCTACTCCTAACACTATAAGGCGTTTTGAATACCTAGATTGATTTTGTTTCAAATATGAAAAAGTCTGTTCATGGATTCCATTGTGATCCACATATTTTCCTTGTGCAGTCTTTAAAGCCGACATTGTTGTGATTAGCTAGAGATGAAGAAGTTCCTTGTACGATTAATAATAAATTTTATTGCCACTTAGCAAGGTGAAAGCTGCCCGCCTAGCATAGATCGATCAATTCCTGAGCTATAAGCACTCCATTCATAAATGCAATTCATCAGGTGGTTTTGTTTCACCAAATATGTCATAAACATATTTGCCTCTTGTTATTGCATGGCTAGCTCTTGAATAATTGTTACCTTACTTTACAAGTGGTTGAAGAAGAACTTAGACAGCTAGATATAGAGCTAACCTAGTGCTGTAGGTCGCAATTGTGAGTCCATACGGTGTTATTTGTTTGTGATTGTTCAACCATAATATTTGTTAAAGGTTCCATTCTTCAGGATGAACCATTACATGACAATACATTTTATAAATGTCAGTGGTAAATACGTGGTGGGGTTGTCTTACCCACAGGAGCACATCAAATGTGTCAAGTTAAATTATTGGGACTAAATAAGTTATGTCATCCAATGGGATTCCAGTAGATGTTGGACTGAAGCCATTGAAGACGACCCTGAGCTTGGTGGTTGTGCTACTCGGTCTCAACACTCCATAATGAGGAAGAAAATATGGTTTCTATCTCAAATTATGTTGATTGACTGCTGGAGCAGGTTTCATGTTGTTCGTATTCAGTCATAATTTGTCGATATAACTTATTGTAGTCATTGTAAGTAGTAAACTTATAGAGCTGACGAGAGAGACTATTGATTTTTTACGGAGAGGACGACACATCTCTCCTTTTTACTCCCACTCACTACATTCTTCTGCACATGCGCAGTTCATAAACGAATGTAAGTGCGCGACAGAACAGCAGTTTCTTCGGTTTCACTCGCACTTACTATATTTTCTACACCTGCGCAGTGCCCTAAAAAACATAAGTGCTCGTCAAATCGCATATTCCTCCAGTGAGAATAATTTTACAGGAGCCGTCCTCCATGAATGCCAATTTACAAAGCTACGGAGTGAGAGGATTAGGCCAAGCCCTAGTCACCGCAAAAACTTATAAACCAGAAAAACCCAAATCGGCTATTCTCGTAGTTAATCCTCTTGTTAAGATGTTCTATATCGATGAACTTAGTACTGCCCGCTGTACTTGTGCTCTCATTAAAGGCCTTGGTATTTTATTTTACGCTATTTCACATAACTTTTAGTTCTATGATTCACACCGAACACCTATGAAAGGTTTTGACGACTCTTGAAGGCAAGCAAGTTCTCACCTGTATGGATGTGAACATCCGATATCCTCTATATTCACCAGACTTCGATACCAGAGGGGAAGAGGTTGCGAATTTCTTTACCGAATTTGGTCTGGAAATTCTCAACCAAATCGAAGGAAGTCCTACATACAGCTCCTTAAGGAAAGAATCGTACATGGACGTGACTGTAGCAACTCAGCAACTGTCACAGTCCCTAAGATAATGGTCAGTCGAAAGAGAGTGGGTTCAGGAGTAAAATCACATGGTCATCGGAATCCAGCTTGGGTAAAGTGTAGTGCAGGGTGGAACTGACACAAAGCCATGCTCCCCTCTTTGGGCATAACTCTGGGAAATTATAACTCTACTCTCGTCGCGATGGCATTTCCCGGGACGCATATACATGCACCCAGAACAGGCACAGAAATACACGTAACAAGCGCGAGGCCATATAACATACCACTATGAGTCCGACCTCAATTGGCCAGTTGTACCTAGGCCTACATGTCATATTTTGACTTTGGAGCCCCAGGCACCGGGCTTGGAATTTGGCCTCCCGTAGTACTGACTTTATCCGCTTTTGTCGGCGGTCGCTAACGCGTCTCACGCTCGGCGTGTTCGATGTGCCCACATTCAGACTACCATATAGAGCAGTACGAAAATGGGGCACGAGGAACTATAATCGTTCCCCATTGTTACGCGACATATTTTAAAGGACAGAACCATCTATGCAACCCCGGGGGCCCTTGTGGAACTGGCACAAAGGCAATCCGACGGTTCAATGTCAAAGCAGCCAATTGGGAAGCCTTCGGTTAGTTGATACCCGAGCTAGAAAGCACACTTTCCGCTGGACCATTACTAGACTCTTCGATGAACATTGATGGATTCGGTGACACTCCTGCAAATAGGTTAACAGAACTCTCCGAAAAATCCATGCCACGTCGAGAAGCACAAAGAAAAGCGAATTCCTGATGGAATAACCACTCTTCACGTTTGGAGAGCAATGTCTATAAACTACGCCATAGATACCCGCGCATGGAATAATTTGGTGTCAATACCCACCGAATCACAGCAGCGAGACTTCGATACCGCTAGCAGGTAAGAAGTTACTCCCAGGCGATAAAGAAAGTAAAACCAAAGAGCTAGAAAAACTCTGTCACAACCCACGGAAGCAAGAAAAAATAAGGTGTGGTATACAAAATTGCGGCCAACAAAATGCGAGCCGAAAAAGTCATGAATGCACTTCACACTAAAGCGAATATAAAACGTTTTTTTGTTCTTTTTGATCTGACTAATCATAAAATTCAATGAAATTGTTTTTTTGTGATATTAAAGACACTTTTGTGCAAAAATTTACAAATTCAGAGGAAACATTAGAGGATTTAGACGTAAGTGATTTTCTAGATCATTTCAGTAAAGAATATCTTGAATTTAGAGTGTTTCGTTCAGAGAAAATGATGATTAAGAGTAATTAGAATGATATTTGTGATTTAATAAATTCATAAAATCAGAGATTGTTAAATCGTTTTTGTTTGAACATGATGACACATTTCGAAGACATCGAGCTGGTGTGAGTATTGCATGCATGTTCGAACGCGTTCGCTGGCAGCACGCTCGAAATAGATGGCAGGGGAACAGAGAAATAGTCGTGTTGACTGTAAAAGTGATGAAGGAGGAGTCGCTAGAGGATACGACTCTCCAGAACTAGTAAAAGAGGAGGAAAAGGTTTTGGAGGAATTTGATAAGAAGAAAATAAATGCTATGTTTTTTAATAATTTACCAGAAATAAACATCAGTTATTATGTTTTCTCGTTCTGATTCTCTGCTCAATGAATAAAATAAGAAGAGGCTGTTAAAATTATTTGAAGTCAGAAGTTAGATTGATTTAGAGATAGAGATCGAAGGCTCCATTAAATAGAGCTATTGAAAATCCAGGTTATTAGAACAATTTTCTTTTTGATTTTACAGCTAAAAACAAAGAAAAGAAGGAGTTAGAAATAACAGAAGACGTGACAATTACAACACCTAATCGAAGACAGAGGCAGCAAATGAGTCAAATTGAAAAGCTAGTAAAAATTAGTAAAGAGGCAGCTAACTCAAAAAAATTGCAGTCTAAAACCTAGCGATAACCGCTAAATCCTTGGAGCAGGTGATGTTGATGGCCAGGGATATGATCAATACTCTGGCTCAAACATCTAAAGATCATCTAGAGGCACAGAGGATTCGTTATGAATCACTGTAGGTTGGTCAAGAACATATTAAAAAATTTGATTTATTAGAGAACACTAGAGCTACGAGAAAGATTGTAGATTCAGAGTTAGAGAACGGTAACATCGAATGTAAGACAACAAAACCCACTAAAAACCAAGAGGTAGACGTTAAGAATGTGAAACAATCACAGAGTCATTTTGATTCAGAAGCGCAAAATGTCGTCGCAACAAAGAGCGTTGAACAAGAGTTTTTAGGGACTAAATTGAATATTGAGAGAGACTACAAACTAAAACAAAGCATGAACTTTAATGTTTGGTTAGATTACTTGAAATCTGTATGAGAAAGTAATGATTCACTAGAGGTTATTGAGCCAAATGTAAAGGGTGTATTCCGAAATCTACACCAGAGTGCTGGCCAGTGGTAATGACGACATGGATCGACGCCATGCTGGTAATCTATTCCGAAATACTCTGGCCAGCGCAGTGACGTCATGAACTGACACCATATTGAAAGTAGTGCTCGAGTTTGTGTTTACGTTTATGCTCCAAAAGTTATAACTCTTAACATACAATTTCAAGTGTACGTTATTCTTAAAAAATGGAAGTAATAGCTAATACGACAATATGTCGTGTCGTTGTTGAGACACAATTCGACTCGTCTAGTGATTCTGATGATGATGATGAGATACTGCTTGCTCTTGATCATAAGGGAAGTGAAGAAATTCCAAAAATTCACAGTTATATGGCAAATTCTGTTCTTCGAATATTAGATAAGACATTCAAGAGTCATTTCAGGTAATTTATTGTTAAATTTAAAACATAAATTATTCATAAATTTGTTTGGACTTGTAAATTAATGATTGATATATTTATATCAGAGTTGAAGAAAGCACTGCAGATTACTTGATGTATTTATTGGCATTAGATTTATCTTTAGTACCTGGTAGTGTTGGTCGATGTCCAATTTCTGCTTACACCCAAATTCTCATGGGTCTTTGGATGATGGCCACACCTGATAGTTATAAGTAAATAAAAGAAATGCATTAATTTATTAAATATACAGTATATATAAAAATATTAATTATTCGCATTTGTAGATCTGTTTGCGAACGTTTTAACATCGGTACAGCAACTGGCTGGAGAACTGTCTGGAGATTTGTGAAGGCGTTATATAAGTATTTTCTAACATTTATTAAATGGCCTACTGCTCAAGAAGCTTTAGCAACTTCCTACTACATCGAAAGAAGGTACGGTTTTCCAGGAGTTCTAGGGGCTGTTGATGAAACCCATATCGTTATTTCAGCACCTCATGTTAATGGTCATAATTACATCAATCGGAAAGGTAGGCATTCTATCCAGACACAAGTAATTGTAGCCACATTTTCTTAATTAATAATTGTTGGGTCTTGAACTTTCTTTATATTTTCTGCAAGATGTATCATGATTACTCTACATACTATAGCGTTTTCACTTAATTTTTTTTTTTATGTATAAAATACTTTCTTCACATCTCATATTTTTTTGTAGGTAGTTTGTGACCATACATTAAAATTTATGTACGTCTATGCTGGTAAAGTGGGATCTGTCCACGACTCAAGAGTTTTTCGACTGTCTGGGTTACAGGATTTCTGTACTCCTGCTAATTTCCCTCAAGACACACATCTACTAAGTGATCAAGCATACACACTACAACCATGTGTAATGGTGTCGTACAGAAACAATCGATTTTTGAATAATGCTAAGCTTCATTACAACACAGTTCATTCATCATCACGAATGATTGTGGAACGATCCATAGGATTGTTAAAAGAAAGGTTTCGTAGTCTTTTAGATAAATGACCATTCAGAAGTACCGATTGAATTCCATATTATATTGTTGCTTGTTGTATTTCGCATAACATTTGTATTTTACAAAATGATTCAATTGACATTCCGATAATCATTGATGGAAACGTTGGAAATTCACCTCAAGTAGTAAACAATATCCTGCGTTTAAGGAGTAATATTAAGAAAAGTCAAATAAGAGATAATCTTTAGGTTTCCAATAATTATTTTTTAGTACTGAACAATTTGAAGTTTATTTTACTTTTTTACTCATATATTGTATATATTTAAATATATGTGTAATACCATTTTGTCAAACATCTTGTTTAAGAAAAATAAGCTGTATTAAAGTTCGTAAGTGGTTCACATAAATGAAACACTAATAAACCAGCAATTTTTATTAATTTCTGTTTATTTCATTCACCATGAGTAACTAAAATACTTGATAAGTGAAAATAAATTCTTAATAAGACATTTATTGAATATGTAACTTTATTCATATAAAAACCCAAATATTTTTTTTTTTTAAGATATAAATATTTTCAACTTCCTTACTCTTATTTTGTATTACAAAGCTTAAACATAAAAACATAACCTTAATTCGAACTCAAGAACTTATTATTGAATAATACTTGTCTTTTTCATTATCAAATTAGTCTAATCTTTATAATAAAACTCGTAAAATTAGACAATCATCTTATAAATATTTCTATCAGCAACTATATAATATTATTTCCTTATTGAAGAGCAGTCTTTCAATTCGTTACGTTTTTTCAACTTAAGCAATATCAGACAGACTCTCTGCCATTGAATCCAAGCAATTATTGAAGCGATCCAATCTTGACATCTTTTCCTTATGTTTTATGTTATCAGACTCCTGTTTGAGACATTTATCTACTACTATTTGCTCCGAAATGAAATGCATAGGCTTAGCTCTCTTGGGTCGTGGTTCCGCAACCGGGACGTCTATTTAATTTAAATAATGATTATGTGAATGAATGTCTGAATTGAAATATACAACGAATTACCTAAATTCGCAGGGACGCCACTTCCAGCAACAGATAGCAGCTTCACCCACGTTTCTTTATGGAAAATTTCATGCATAACCTGCAGAAAAAAATGTAAAATTTGTAGCTAAAATAATCAAAATAATATAAACCACTTTGTTTTAAATATTTACCTTGAAATAGGGCCAAGAACATAGTATTCCACCTGACTTATTCAGTAAATCCAACTTTTCACGATAGATTCGCTTTAAACAATCTATCTTTGAGCAACATTATGTATAAAATATAGTTTTACCTTCTTTTTTAACAAAATATTCTTAAAATTAGTGACAACTCTGTTTAAAGCAGCAGTAATATCTGTTTTCCGAGACAGTAATTGAACACCTTCTTTTTGGTAGCAGTTGAGCAAAACCATAGTTTCATTTTGGTTCCAATTATATGCAGTAGCTGAAATATGTACAGTTAATTATGAAAAAAACCCTAGGAATTAAATAATTAAATAAGAACTTATGATCTAATTATACTTGGAGCATGGATATTGATCTCTCATTAATGTTAGTAATAATTTTTATGATTAAAACTATTATTATTATTATAAAAACAATATACTTACATTCTTGATCAGTGAGTTGATGAGTTGGTATGACTTTTTTAACCGATACATCGAGATGTTCATCTACCGATACTTCTTCAAGGTTTTCAAATTGAGACTGATCATCTTGATGATTAATTGGTATATTTTCATCATTGCACAATTCCTCTACAAAGATCTCTTGAACATATACATCTTTCATTCTTACGGGACGACCTATCGATAATTGTACAAAGTAATCAATAAATTTATTTTGTACTCGACAACAATAATTAGTAGATTATAAGTGACATTCATTATATATACGTGTTTATTTTATAAGTTACCTGTTTGTAAATATTCTACTAGAAAAATTGCACCGTAATCTGGATCTGTAAAATATTATTAATTACTCAGTTCTCAAATTTTAAGGTTATTTAACAAAGCTGATTTATCAAAATAATATCTGCGCTTGCTCTTTCATACTGTTCTAAAGATACAGTTAGTGTATAAGATTTGCGATTTCCTTCATCTCTAAGAACTAATTGTTTGGTATCCTGAGATGCCATTACTATAATTATAATTATGAATAATAAAGAAAATAATCTACAATGTTTAGTGTATCCTTCCTTGGCTGGATAGTATTACGTCACAGTATTCTTACCAGCATAATATGGCGGTATAACAGTACAATATGGCGTCGAAATCATGACGTCATAACTACTGGTCAGCACACTGGTGTAGATTTCGGAAAACACCCAAAATCTAATCGCAACTACTCAAAATCGACTATAGCCAAAAGAAAGAGATTAGCTGAAGACGTAATTATTAATAGATAAGATGAAAAATATCACAAAATCATAATAAATATTAGAGATCCTATAGAAATTCTACAAAAACTGAAAAGTTCTAGAAAAAGTGAGGTGAATGTAACTCATACATTAGTAAGAACTCGTCTATATGCTACTAGAATGAGTAAAAATGAATCTGTAAATAATTTTTGCGAAAAATTTCATGCAATTGTTGGAGAATACGAAGTATGTGAGAATATAATAGAATTGACGCCACAAGAAGTTCGATCAGCGTTTTATCAGGCTGTTTCTTCAGCTATTCCAGAAATAAGGAACGCAGATTTATTAAAGAAACAAACAACTGGTCAGGAAATGACATTAGATGAAATAAAATCATATATTTTACAGTTGAAGGCAGAAAAATCTAAAACCAAAAAGAGGATGAGCCCAAAGCTCAATGGGTTCATAACTTAAATGCAAAAGAGAGCAAGTGCCACAAGTACAACAAATTTGGGCACTGGATGAGAGATTGTCTACTCTCACCTTAAAACAAATGGTTCTGCTACTACTGTCAGGTCATTAAAGACCATAAAGAAGATATCTGTCCCACAATTAAAGGTAGCAAAAACTTAAAAAACAAGAGAATCAAAAATAATAATAAAAATGTACTAAAAATCGATAAGAAAAATAAACATTTTAGAGAAAAAGAGGTTAAGAGAAATCCCGAAGAGGAACCAAGAGAGCGTATAGAGCGAAAGAAATGAAGAGTCAGGAACTCCAAAGTGACACAGGTAAGAGCAAATATATTACTTCATTGCCGATTCGGGAGCAATTGATCACATGATCAATGATGACATGATTCTTCGTAACTTCAAAAAGTGTAACAATAAAATATTCAAGAGCGCAAATAAGAATGAAATCGCTGATATAACAATAGATGGAATAGGAGACTTACTTTTATATGCAGATTCAAGTAGAGAAAACATAATCAAGTTAGCAAATGTATTTGCATCTACAGATAACACTGAGAACTTGTTATCATTGCGTAAACTGGTGGACTTAGGGTTTCGAATTTACTGAAATGATAGACTTTCAAGAGTATATGATAAAGATTCGAACAAAACAGTTTTAGGGGGAATTTATGAAAAACCAAATTGGAAAATGAAATCTAGAGTTAAAAAACAAGAGCAAAATCAATTAGAAATTGAAATAAAGTATGAAGTATATTGTTGTCGAGCTGCAATATAAAAACATGATGAGATTCCGATACAATCACAGAATCATAATCAGAACAAAAAGACATTAGAGTGGGAGGGTGATATTGATGATAGAAAGATTATAGAATTTGTGATTGGAAAAGAGGATGAAAAGAATCTCATGGTTCCAGTAGAGGAAAAGAACACTAATACTTTAATAAAAGATTCAGAGAATAGAGTGTTAAACCAAGAAATGGAGAATTGGGACTGGGATTTAAATTCAGCCCAACACTTATAAGATATATACACAAGTAACCCTCTAGAGAATAATAATAATTTTACTGAGACAATTAATGAATCAATGTCATGGCATGTTAGACTAGGTCACGCATCATTAAACTACTTGAGAAAACTACAGAAGATTAATAAAAAGATGAAAAAAGTAAAATTTGATAAGGTCATATTAGAATCCGGAGCCGGTATTATGTCAAAGATGCAAAAATTACCCTTTAGAGAGACTAGAAAACGAGCTGAAAGGCTACTTTAACTTATACATACGGATACGATGGGTCCTATAACACTCACATCACATCCTGGACAAAAGAGGTACATCAACGTTTATATTGATGATTATTCAATATTAGCCAGAGCATATTCGATTAACACAAAAAACGAAACTGAAGAATCGTTAGAGGAATTTTTGATTTCTACTCGTTACTTATAAGGGAAAATCCAAAAGTATGCTACATCAGATTAGACCAAGGAACTGAATTCACTGGAGGAAAGTTTTTAGAGATTATGGAAGAGAAAATATAGTGGCGGAGTTCGCGCCACCATACGCACCTGAACAAAATGGAGTAGCTGAAAGGTTCAATGCTACGACGATTCAGAGAAAAGTTAGAGCTTACATGTTTGATTCTGGTTTACCTAAGAGCATGTAGGAATTACACAACAGGACTCCACCCAAATCAATCAACTATAAGATTCCATTTACAACATTTGCACCAAATGTGAATTGTCACTCGTCACTTTGAGCAAATTAACGGATTTTGATGTACAGGATATATAAAGGTTCTAAAACAAAATTTAAAGTTTGAAGAGCGAGCAATAAAAACACTCCTGGTAGGCTATACGCCAACAGGACACCTGTTTTGGCATTCAGGTTCAAGGAAGTTTTTCGAATTGAGACATGTTAGATTTAATGGAAAGCTTGTTTACAAAAATGTTGACAAGAATAATAATTTAGAGCAAAACATAGGAATAGCACCCAAAATAGAAAACAAAATTGATTGGAACTGGATGAAAGAGTTTAAAGAGAAAGTCGAAAAGGAACATGAACCAGAAAAACCTGAACTGAAGAAAAGAGGAAGACTACGCAAGAAACAATCAGATGTAAGGGATTCAGTAGAGGAAAGAATATAAGTAGACCAAACACCAGCAGTCAAAATAA